TTTATACATACAAATATGCTATCTTCAAGTCCATGGAACACTTTTGGATGGATATATTACCTTTGAAGTGTTAAATCATACCTTCGACAGAGTACGTGTAAGACAGCCCATCTTTAAACGTAATTTGTTGCCATTTTTCCATACATATAAATCTTTGAATTATGACTGGTTTTTATTTGACTTAGGGTCTACAAAATATATTCCAGTTTTGAAAAATGTTTCTCTTGACATTTCATTCAATCTTCAATGATTTTCTAGGACAGATGAGTTAAAAATGTGTGATTCACCTCTCTTTTATTTTTCATATTTTGTCATGCTTTCACTGCTCAAAGGAATAAACACTATGAATATGACTGACAAAGAAAGCGGACAAAATATACAGTTCCTCAGGTACATGTAGACAAAGGAACATCCCTTCACTGCTATTATGTACAAATGTGTAGAACAGGTGTCACATGCATATTCACCTTTTTACATAATAGCAGTGAAGGGATGTTCCTTTGTCTAACTGAGGAACTGTATATTTTGTCCGCTTTCTTTGTCAGTCATGTTCATAGTGAAAGAATTAAGGCCTGTTCAGATATTGCTTAGAAAAACACAGCTGCATTTTCTTTTTAAAAGTGTAAATGGCAACTGTGCACAATAAATGAACTAGCGCATATTCACTGAGCTCTGTGTTATAAGATACAGCAATGTGAAGTGTATTACACTTCACATCATCCTTAAAGAGAAGGTTGAGTTCTGGGAAGAGGTGAAAAATAACTTGTAAGCTTTATCATTGTTATTATGCAAGGGTGGAAGAACATCAGAAGAAACATTTTCCCTGAAAAGCATGGCTCTTCAAATGCCTTCATATTCTAAATATGGCATGTCACATTGTAAAATCGGGACAGATTTTTACACCACGTGTTCGTGTAGTCCCCTATAGATCCTTCTGTGTACAGTGCTTGTAACTTTACCAAGACTTGGCCATATTTCTTATCATTGTGATGATTTCAGAACCTTGCAATACACACAAATATTTATATGCTGGATGATCAACCTTTTCTGATCGATTCCACACCGTTTCTTTCACAATGTAATCGCATGACCATCTTTAAAAATAACATGCCACGGTTTTGCTGCATCCTATCTGAACCAGCCTTTAGAGTACGACACCTTAGGTGTGAGTTTTCTCCAGGACACACATCCTGTAAGAAAAGAAGTACAGCTTAGTGAGCTTACCCTAATCTACCAGGTAAGTATTCAAGTCACTCATGCCCTGGCTCAAAGATCAGCCAATCTCAACCCAAGCTATCTTGACCTGATTTGAAGTTGTTTTTTAAAGTCACCTTCAGTCTCGTCGTTCATACTCTCTCTCTCTCTCTCTCTCTCTCTCTCTCTCTCTTCCTTCTCTCTCTCTCTCTTACTCTCTCCTTCTATCTTTCTCTCCCATATTTATTCTCCTCCTCCCTCCTTTCTCTCTTCCTACAATTGCCTCCTCCCACTTCACTTAATGTATTCATTCTATGATTGTATTTTCGTCTGTCTGTCCTTGTCACATACCCCGCCCCCTCTCTCTCTCTTTCGTCTCTCTCCCTACTCTCTCTCTCTCTCCCTACTCTCTCTCTCTCCCTACTCTCTCTCTCTCTCTCCCTACTCTCTCTCTCTCCCTACTCTCTCTCTCTCTCTCTCCCTACTCTCTCTCTCTCCCTACCCTCTCCTTTGATTCTCTTT